GACATACCCTGCGTTCCATTCGGAAAGGCTCATCCCTATGCCCTAATCCCTTCAAAGGGTTTACCCTCCGGACTGAGAACTTCGAAGGGTTGAAAGGTGTAGGGGACCAAACAACTGTTTCTTGAAGTGCCCTTCTGCTTCATCATCACATGGCCACACAGAGGCACTGTCATCATGCAAAGAATCTGCGCAAAGGATCATGGGAGCCTGAAGTGTCCATCAGTTGTACCCTTCGAAATCCTTCATTCCGAAGGGCCCTTTGAAGTGGCCAGTTTTGAGCACTTAGGTTTGGAACGACCCTTTAATATGGCGGCCATGATTGTTTTCACTCCGAAGTGCCCTTCGGAAGGCGATATATCCCATTTCGAACGACAACTTATACACCAAATACGTATAAATACACCAACCTTCCATTTGCAAAGGATCATGGGAGCCTGAAGTGTCCATCAGTTGTACCTTTCGAAATCCTTCATTACGAAGGGCCCTTTGAAGTGGCCAGTTTTGAACACTTCGGTTTGGAACGACCCTTCAATATGGCAGCCATGATTGTTTTCAGTCCGAAGTGCCCTTCGGAGGGCGATATATCCCGTTCGGAATGCACCAATAGACACACACACACACACACACACACACACACACACACACACACACACACACACACACACACAGAGAGAGAGAGAGAGAGACAGAGAGAGAGAGAGGGGGGGGGGCTGTTTTAAACGTTTTTCCAAAAAGTATCCATGTCACTCCGCCTTCCTATTCATGATAAACCCACATTTTCACAGAGATCCAGACAACACCAGAGAGAATTAAATTATTTTATGAAATTTTCAAACTAACCCAAGTCACGATTAACATATGCCTCAAGGGCACGCTGAGGGCTTTAGAAGCCTGAAACACATCTGTGGCAACAGCACAGCTGTATTTGAGCTATCTGAGCGTGTGTCTTTTGAGAGAGAGCGATTCAGGCCAGTCTGACTGGAGCTCCTCAGGATCTGACTGCAGCTCTGGGACTCTGCCACAGACATGAACTGAGACCTGACCTGCTCCAACCTGGATAGATCAGAGACTACAGAGGCTGCAGAGGAAATCATCTCCCCCAAAGTTGGATGTTTTGCTTTGAGGCTTTGCTGGGAAGTGTTACTGACTTCTGCAAGGCTGCAATTACCAGACTGGAATAATGTCCATGGACTGGCGTGGAGGTGAAAGGCTGCTTATAGGCTTGTTTGTGATGCTTATCCTGAGGCTCAGCTGCTGTGCTGGACAGAGCTATGAACGCTGGGAGGCCGGGTCCTCATGCTATGGAGGGTTTGACCTCTACTTTGTGCTGGACAAGTGAGTTTTTTTCATTACCATAAGCTTTGACAGCATCTTGGAAGGTCTTGGTCTGAATGTATAATTTACATTTATATTCTCTGCAGTATATCGTAGGTGTCTCAAAAGGTTGGCTCCTGAATCACCTAGGCAGTTTTGTCAAAAAGCATGAAAACATATAAACATGGTCAGTTCATCATCTCATCTGTCACTTGTACTGAAGGGTACACTTATAGTATACTAAATTATACAAGCTCCACACATGCAGACAAAATCCTCAAACACAGAATTGCATTGCATTTTTAATAGCTATGTGGACGCATATGGAACCATTTACCATAATAACAGTAACTATGAGGACAACAACCCACCTCCAGAAAACACAAAGAGCTTGGCAAAGAAAGAAAAGAAAACATCAACCTGCACTCTGACGTTTTTTTAAATAGACTCTTAAATGATGGTTGTGGGATATTTGGGGTTTAAAGGGTTATTTTCCTTTGTCTAGCTCTATTTCTGAGGTTTTGCCCTGGGTTTGGTTGCATATTATAATTAATATATTCAGTTCAAGAACAAATACAACAGTTTCAAGTTATTTTAGGGTCATTGTTCCATAGGAAAGCCTAGAATATTCGGGTGTCATGAGGTGAAAGTGAGGGTATCTGAATGTAGCGTTCAGGGGTGTTTGGGTGCTTAATGTGCTGAACCTTTTCACCAGCAGGGCCAGACGTTCCAAAGCCTCAGAGCTGTTTTGAAGCAGAGTTCGTATCTGAGCACAAATTATAAGGGAATGAGAAAGAGACAGAGGGGAGGGAGAAAGAGAAGTATGCAATTGTTCAGTCATGCCAGTAGCGTTCTTCATTTAAAAACACAGATAAACTCAGAGAAAAGACATGTGAACAATGCAAACCCTGTGATGAATTTAGAGTGAATTAAACAAATTTAACATGCATGCAAAATCTTTGGATTGTGACAGAATAAAACCATGATCTGCAGTGTAGGACAACAGCCCAGATTAGTCTTTTCATTAATGGTTGTAGGTTCTTATCTGATGAGGTCATAGCAAAGACTTGGCTCACAATGCAAGTTTCTTTTTCCTGTTGAAACAGTGCAGAAACAGGCACAATGCTGATACGCTGGTCTATGCCATCAGTATCTGCCATTTTCAACCATTCATCTCAGAATATCACAGAAAATATCACTATCTCTATCAGTATGAGTAGCATGTTTTTCTGTCATTCATACTACAATTCTTGATAAACACACACACACAACAAATCTGATTTTCTAATTTTCAAAGCCTGCTATAATTCTTCATCTTCTCAGGTATGGATCTAAATATCAACATGTCTGCTAGTTCATTTTGTTTAGAGAAAAGCTGGAGTCTTGATCTCGAGACCTTTCAAGACCACATAAAATCTCTGGTCTGAGTGTCATTACTCAGTGTCTTGGCCTCGATTTGTGTCTCAAGTTTTGGTCTTGGTCTCTGCTTCTGGTCTCAGACAATTTTCAGTATATTAAACGTGATAATTACCTCAACCACAAATCGGCAAGTGGTTCAACATTTGAAATGCATTCTGATTTAAAAAATGTTTCATCTCATTAAAATGGACAGCCAGCTTTTGGACCAACAGAAAATCCCCAGAGATCCAGATGGTCTGGATCTGGGCCTCAAGGGGTTCACTCTCAGGTCCCTCATGTCAAAATGTTATAATAAACTGATTTAAAATAAAACGACTATATTTCAAATACATCTAGCCTTTGTTTACAGTAATAGAATGTGGTCTGGGTCTCAAACGTTAACTGTTGAGTACATAAAGAAACGTAAAGAAATCTACAATTCTAAACAACCACTGTACGAAAACGACCCAGTGTTTCAAATGAATGCCGCAATAAATTCAATCTTTATTTTTTTTCCAGTTCACTGAAATGCATGGCCTTGCATGGTTCTTCAATTATATCTTTGATCTGAATTTAAGCATTGAGAAGTTTAGACTTGGTCTGGGTCGTGAATGGTCTGGTCTTGGCTCCATATCTATATGCCAGATTTTTATATACAGTATATATATACATACATATACATTTATGAAATAACTTGATTTAAAATAGAACAGCCAATAAAATTTGAGACAATAATAGCCTGCCCACATTCTAAAAAAATCTGCTGAATTTATCAAGACTGAAATAGCAGCACTGGTGTGTTTGTGGGGGTGGATGTGCGCTGAGGAAAGCTTATACTGCTTTTGGATGGCTTCAATGTCACTTACGTAAGCTTACCTTTTTTTTTTTATTTGTCTCCACTGCAATTGCCCAGCCAGATGAGCTATTACACAAGCTGAGCCATTAAAGCAGCCCACTTAAGAAAGAGTTAGTGACTTGCTCAGATATCATTCTCTGTGTCAGAAGCTATACTTTTTAAGACTGTTGTGGACAATGACATGCTGCCATGCCAATCTGAAATGAATCTTGAGATAATCCTTAAATAGTCAGGAGGGTTAATTTGAGTGAAAAATCACCACTACAATATATGAGCAGCCTAAATCCTTTTGTGGATTTAAGCCATCATGCAAAATTCTAAATGTTTTCCAAAGAGTTTTTTTCCCCCTCACTAAAAGTAGGGTCGGTACGTTATGGTGGCAGATAGCGTCTCAGACTGCAGCCATAAATGTCACACCTTCTGCTGTTAGATCATCGATGCAGACCTTATTTCCACTGAGATTTCACATAGACCTGTGATGCTCACTCCCAATGTGTCAATGTGGCACAAGGTGTTTTTAACAAAATGACACCTAGAAGATTGGATTCACCAACATCCCCTCTTGCAATGAAAAACAGTACAAAATTCATCATACGCGATAACTTTCAATGCTTCCAGGTTGTTGATTTTCTATTTTTTCTTTTGTGTGTGTGACACTACAGAGTCAGTTATTTATATGGTTTTAAGTCAGTTATTTCTATCTTTTGCTGTAATGTGTCAGTAGGAAATATCAGTTTACATTTCCAAACATTAATTTTGCCATTAATTGTAATAATCCTGTGCGATTTTTGTTTGCACAAGGAGTCTGCCAGTGTTCCACACAGAGATCTGATCTCATCGTTTAAAGCAGCTTTTGCAAATAGGTGCTCTTGCGCATAGTTTTTCAGGGAGCTTTGCAGGAAGGTCACTTGAAGCATCTTGGAGATGTTGCCACAGTTCTTCTGGATTTAGTCTGTCTCCG